CCAGGACGATACACCCAGGCCTTCAGGAGGGCACTTGTAGGGAGGGTGGGAGAGGAAGCCTCACTTTCTCCTTCCTCCTCAGCTGATCCGAGGTCACTCTTCTGGTCCTCGGCATTCTCCCCTGGCTGACACACCCAGACCCTCCCGGAGGCACTTGTAGAGGAAATGGAAGAAGGACCCTTGGCTCCTCCCTTCTCAGTTGCCCCTAAAGCACTGTCGTCCTCCTCTTCCTTTCCGTTCTTACTTGGTTGATTCTCCAAAGCCCCAAGCAGGTGCCTCTGGGCTGGAACCGAGGACCATGGCTCTGGGTCAGCTTCTTTCCCAGGGGCTCCACAGGCCTTCCTGCCCTTCTCCCTAGGCCTCTCGCCTGGACAATATCCCCAAGCCCTGGAGCTGGAGCCTGCCAATGAGGGGGAAACGGAGGTCTTCCTGGCTTCGTTTTCTGTTCCTTTTTCCTCCGTGGCTTGATTCTCTTTCTCCTCTGGGCAGTACACACAAGTGCCAAGTTGGGATCCTGAAGACTCAGGGAAAGTGGAGGCAGCAGGAGCTTCTTTCTTGACATCGCTCCACTCCCAGTGTGATGAAGGATAAGAGAACTTGGTCACTCCCTCCTCTTCAGCTTTCTCCTCCCCAGGACTCTTATCAGAACCTTGCAGGGCTCTTATCTGCAGGCTGTGGGACAGGGGCTGGCCATCTGTAATTTCTATTCCCTGCTCTCTGGGGACACTGCTTGCATCTTTCTCACTATTTTCTTCACTGCCTAAAAGTCCCCAAGCTTCAGGAGGGGAATTACTGGGCTTCAGGTCAAGGCAGGACTCCAGGTCTGCTTCTCCATTCTCTTGAGGTACTCCACTGTCTTCAGCTTCCCCTTGAGGAGGCCTGGCCCAGGGACCATGGGAGATGGCCAAAGAAGCCTTCACTTCTCCCTGCAGGCCACCTTCTACCAGATTTTCTCCTGTCACTGCTTCTACCAGCCAGGGCTCTGAAGGTCCTGGGCCCCTCAGCCGGCTCCAGGCCCGGCTGAGGAAGCCCATCAGTGGGGACAGGAGGTAGGAGTAGTGGGCTTCCCTCCAGGGTGTGCTGTGATGGGGTACTTGGCCTGGAGCCATCTGTCCCAGATGAAAAAGGGGGAGAAGAAAAGGAAATAAGATTTAGAGGCCATTTAGGAAATGCATCAGGGCATGACCATGAGTCATAGCAATGAAATAGCAACACAAATGAATAACAACATGAGAATCCGGGCCCAGGATTCCTTTCTCATCCTAGCTACACCCATCTCTGTTCCTTGCTTCCCTTCTCGACACCCAGCAGTCTGGGCCCCCAGCTCTCCTTCATGAGATCCAAGGGTCCAAACCCCTTTTCAGACCCAGAAGTCCCAGTCCCAAGAACAAAGATCTTTTTTCGAGCTTCCCTTGGGGACAAAGTCAGTCTCCAGTTCTCTTACTCTCCTGAGGATTGATAAATCACCTTCATCCCTTGGAGTCTCAGAATATTCTGAACCAGACTGGGGTTGGGGCTCAAGTGGTAGAGCACCTGCCTAGCATGCTGATCCTTAGCACCACATAAAAATAAAATGAAGATATTGTGTCCATCTAAAACTAAAAAATAAAATTTGAAAAAATATTCTGACCCTCAGATTATTCCTTCACTGGGGACTGAAGAATCTGACTCCCGCACCCCTTCTCCCTCAAGCTTAGAGGACTCCGGGGTCCTAACCCCTACCCCTGCCTAAATCCGGGCCTCCAGTCCATTCCTCCAGACCCGGGAGTCGGTTCCCCATCTGGACCCTCACCAGACTCATGAGACCAGGCTGCCAGGCCCTCCCTCCATACGACGCTGGAGTCCAGGCCCCGAACCCTCCAGTCTCGGAACCAAAAGTCCATGGCTTTCCTCATTATTGGGGCCCCAGGCATTCCGATCCCTTACCGGCTAGGAGCGTCAGTGTCACCCAGGAGGCAGGAGCGCCGGCTCGGGCTGCCAGAAGCGATCGCAGGTTCGGACGGTTCGGACGGCTCGGAAGGCCAGCGCGTTCATCTCGCCCTCAGGCGTGGGGCTCGGGGACTCTAAGTATCACGGGCTGCCTCAAGCACTGTCGCGACAAACGGCTGCAGAGCGTCTCGTTCGTAATCATCCGCAGGCCTGGGAACCGATCCAATTAGCTCTGGCGCAGCCTGCAATGCTTTTATAGGCAGTCGCAGCCGACGTAGTGACATCACGAGAGGCGGGGTTTCGAAACGACAGCGCATTGGGTGGGAAGTGAAAAACAACAGGGACTTCTGGCGGAAATTCCAGGCTTTGTGACGTCACGTCGGCATTTCCAAGCATGGCCACGCCCCCGAACAAGCTATCTGTCAATCAAATAAATGCACGTTCCGCCTAAGCTGCAAGCAGGCGATCTGCCTCTGCTCCAGCACGTGCTTTCCCACCGCAATTTAACCTGCAGGTGTTAGTCTAGAGTTTCCCACCTTCACGTCTAGTCGAATTCCTCCACAGCCTGAGGAATTGGGGACAGGATAATATTCCCAATTCACAGATGAGGAAACTGAGGGCTGGAAATGAAATCATTTGCTCAAGGTGATCACAGCAGAGTCCAGATTGACTGCAAATGGGAACAAGAATGTAAGCATCATGAAGGCAGGCAACTGTGCTTGGCTCACTGCTTTCTTCTCAGTGGCGACAACAGTGCCTGATACATTGAAAGTGCTCCACAAAGTATGGTGAATGGCTGCTACAGCAAGAGCTCAGTCTCCTTCCCTCACAACAGACAGAAGACGACTTTCTTGAGTTTCACTGCTGCAAACTTGGGCAAAAGCTCTGCTTAGGAAACTGAAATTCTACCTGGGTGGCACTCCTTGTGGGAGGGGGAGTTCTGCTACAAGTTCAAGGTTCAGGGTTCCAATCCCCAGCCCTCTTTCCTATCTGATCCATAACCTTTGTGTGTGTGTGTGTGTGTGTG